TAGTCATGCATGTGTAACACATGTCCTAACCATCTCATTCGATGTAATTTCACAGCCTCGTCGATTGATTTCCCCTCCTGACCTATCACTCGACGCCTAAGCTCAATATTGCTCACCTTAGTATTCCACTCAGGTAAGTAGTTACCTGGGGTTCCATTGGGAAATCGTGAACAGTGAGTGGGGTACAGCTGATTGGATGTGAGGACGAATACTCGCCACCGATGACACTGGCTACTGCTAGTCGCGCCATATCGTGCGTGAATTGATAGAAGTTCGAATTCATGGGCTGGACACTGGATCAGGTCTCAGTGGCTGGATGGTCTACGAGCTAGCTCGCCTTGTAACCGGAAGGTCTTTGGTTTGAACCCCAGTGGGGTGGGCGCGAGCTACTGGAGTGTCTCAAACTAGGCGGACGAAACAGCTGGCTGTCCAGAACTCCCAGTTGGTTTTCCAATGGATCTCCAACTGATGTCAGCTCATCATGAGGAAATCCTGTAGCCAAAGTGGTAGATATTGTAGTTGCATACATCAATCAAGAATATACCCCACAGAAATCCTGGAATTAGAACTCCTTAGCATTGAGATAGATTTTAAAAATAACAGTAACTCTCCAAAATTCGTCAAAATATAGGGAAGATCTGAAAAGCTGATAATATTGAAGGAATAAATAACAGAAGGTTGAAAACCTCTCTAGCTAGAACTTCTCCTGCAGTCAAACTGGTTCCCATTTATCGAACAACAAACTCTTTGGTACAATCAAAGGTTGATAGATAGATACCCTTCCCATGATAACTCTAATTGTATAAACAAATTTACATTTATCTGCGGGAGCAGTTACGACATTGGGAAGACAGAAAGAAGGGTATATCTTTTCAGATTCTCTGAATCTTGTATCAAAACCTTTACGTCTCAAGGGAACATATACTTTGAATAGTGCTATTGCCAGACATTTGTCTAGTTGATACGGACTATGAGGTTGACATACCGCGAAATCCTTCAAGATTACTAAAAGACAATACAACTCAACTCTATTCAGATTCACCGAAGTAATCACTATTAAACGTTTAAAACCTAACTTATCTGTTCAGAAAGATTCATTTATTCGTCGTCTTTCTTTGCCTTGGTGACTCAACGTCTAATCTTTTTAGTCTCAGTTGGTTACGTAATCTTTCGCTTTTACCTCCTCCCGCGTTTTTATTTGTTTTATTGTTGGTCATATCTTCTTTTTATTTCGATGACTTGACTTAAACTCACCACTCACTTGAAGCTTGATCTTCTTCATAAGTTATACAAGTAGAACTTCTGAACACTGTGTCTCTTTTAACAAAAATCATGTCCATCCTTGGAAGAATGACAAAATTCTATATACATTTACATAATAACCAACTTATAGGGTGTAAGCAGCTGAAGAGAATCCAACGATGAAATAAATGATGGCCTTATATTATTCTGCACAAACCATTGAATTTTCCTTATTTGAAATAAAGTGTGTTGCTCATCAATTGACTTCAGTTAGAAAACCGCTGAGAATCAGGGAGTACTGAACGGATAGATGTTTCGTCATTGTTTGGGACTCATCAACAGAACTCACCCATGACACTACCTATCGAAGATCGATGGAATCCGACGGCTCATAAATTCTAACTTCTATCAGTTGGCGATATATGGCGTGATGTCATCGGTGAGTAACTTTGAAGTAACCATTGGATTACGTCCCAGTAGCTGAATGCTATACTGGGAGGCCTTGTAACCTGAAGGTCTTATGTGCATATTGTTGAAGAATCGCGGATAAGGACGAAACAATTGGCTGTCTAGTATCCTCTGATTCTCAGTAGTTTTCTAACTGAAGTCAATTCGTGATTGAAATCGAGACAAATCAAATCCCTGGAAACCAATACTTGAAATAAGCAAAAAATCAATATTAGGAACTTTTTCTACACGAGTAAAATGGATATGCTTTTGAATGATGATATGTACTACTGATGTGTCACAAATCATTAAGTAGTATATGTGTCATCATTCAGTTTTACTTTATTCATATTCGTGCTTGTTTTAAATTCATATAAGGAAATAAATGTTTCTAATTCAATCATTTATTGACATGAAAGTTCCAGGGTGCAAACTACTGGATTTTGTGTCAGTGGTTCAGTGGTGGAGTGTTAACCGATCAAAAACACACTTATGATCCGAGTTCTATTCTCAGCCGACGAACTCCTGAAGCCCCATTATGGATAAAATATTATTTTGATAAAGTCATACAGTGTTATACAGATTATTAGAACATGAGAATCTAGCTAGACCTAGAATGATCGACTCTGCTAAGTTAAGTAATCTAGAAAAAAGCCCAGCCATTGCACTGCACAAAATAGGGTGGGATAGGGTGACAGTATTAAAAAGTAATATAGTAGTTAGGTGGAGCGAGAAAGAGAGAGGTTTCAACACCACACATGTGCAATCGAAGTTGCAGAACATCTAGACCGGCGGTGCAGAAGGTGGAAACAAACAATAAGTCGGAGAAGGAGAGAGAAAGAGAGAGAGAAAATACCTGTGAAGCAAAATATGAAGCCATGTCACTAAATTGATATGATCATGATTAGGGATAATTTATGCACGAAAGCTTGTCATTCAGTTGTTAATATACTGCATCATCACTGTGTCAAATACCTAAAATAAATCTACCTAATATAGAAGAAACTCTGAGAAGAAACCAACCATCCAACAATCTATCGTCCAACAGATATGCAGACGGAAATAGTGATGGATGGATGGATGGTGACGATGCTGATGAAATTTCTGATTTCATTGGACTGGATCATACAACCCACTATTGAGGGGGGGGAGGGCAGCAAGAAGAAGGAAATACGTTAAGTCGACAAAAAGACTCAAGAAAAGCCAATTCCTCACAAACTTGAGGATTCACATGCAAAATCCAACAAGTTGGCAGAATAGACTGGCAGTGATAATAGGACTTCAAGTGAATATAAAGAAGACAAGCATCGAATACCATCAATAGAGGGAATTTCAAGGAAATCAGGACCTTCACTTATCTGGGCAGAATCATTTCATCACTGATATAAGAATAGAACTTGGGCTCTGTGGTGGTAAAGTATAATTCCATTATGGGTAAAATTTATTTTGATAAAGTCTCACACTGTGTTGTCATACAGTAATAATAACTGATGACCACGTTTCGAGCACAATTTATTGCTGCTCATAATCATATCAAGGCACTACTCACACAACTTTCTTGCTTCATTTATATACATGAGTAAAAACTGATGATTAGACATTTGAAGAAAATCAATATAAGATGAAGTACTCCTAAAGCTCGGTAAGGTGAAAAAGTTAGACATCATGTGGGCAACCCTATAGCCTAAGAAACATCTCTACTGCTTTTGAAACCCCATGTACCACATAGAACTTAAAAAAATGGAATAAAAAATCATCGGATCAGTAATTCGGAGACCCGTCGTTTTCATCCTCTCACGACGCCGATTTTCATCTTCAGTCATCATCACCTCCTGTTAGGTAAAATAAACAAGGCAAGCATGTACCCTGACTACTTCTAAGACCATCACAAAAGTACACTTTGTATATTATTATTATTGTTCCGGTTGGGTTTCGGGTGGAACATAGGTTTTCAGCAGCACACCCCATTATGTGCAGTCTTTCTTGTCCGCAAACAGCCTTCATATCGTTTTGAAACGATTTCATCCATGTCAGTCTTGAACACATAGCTAACTCGTCGTTTTCCATTCCAGTCCTAGTGTACAACCTTGAGCACAGTGTTGCTTAGTGGTCTTCTCAGGGTGTGTTTAATCCGTCTCCATTTTCTTCAAGATATCTGTTTCGGGCAATAGGTTCCTTGTTGGTTCGTTGTCCAGCCGTTATAGTTCCTTGTTACTTATGGTTTCTGGTCATCTGATTGTCAGCGTGGATGGAAGGCAGATATCGGCAAACGTCTGTAGTAGCCTGTTAAAAATGCCTTTAGTGATGCGCTCGCCAAGTCTTATGCCGATTTCAGTCAAGGTCTGTCCTAGCTTTCCGACCCTACGTCGGTTCGGTATTCTCATCCATGTCGACTGTCTGCAGTTGACACAAACGACTGTTAAAGAAGAGTTACGTAGTAACATGAATAGTTTAATGAGAGAGTTGTACTCAAGGTGTACATGGAAACAAAACATACGGAATTACACAAGGGTTTTAAGTAGAAAAATAAGCGTATCTAGTCAAAAAGGGTCAAAGAAGTGCAATAATAGAACACCTCGTCAACACTGGTCATTCCATCTCAACAAACGCCTCCATCAAAGCAATCTACAAAGTGAAGAACAACCTTCCAAATACAGTACAATTCCATCTTCTTTGCATCGCAGAAGTCCTAGCCATTAAGCTAGAGGAACCAGAACTGTACATACAAAAGAATATTATTCAACCATTTCTACTCCCATGGTAACAACTGTGTTGATTTGACTTAACTTTTCTTTGTTTGTTTGATTTGACTTAACTTTTGTTTGTATGCTTATTTTTCTAACTACTTAAATCCCTTGTGTATTTCCGTATATTATTTTGTTTCCATGTACACCCTGAGTACAACTCTTTCATTAAACTATTCATGTTATTACGCAACTCTTCCTTAACAATCGTTTGTGACAACTCATCACTTTTGTTACTACCCTCTTATATCAACATCCAATTTATCTGTCTGTAGTTGAGACGATTCTGATCACTGAGGTAAATCAGATTCCTCCTGTTGGCGGTAGTGATTGACGCTTTTCATTGTTGAATAGGTCTCTTCACAGTCCCTGCCTTCTTGATGTCCACTTGAAGTCCTTCGTTGCCAGCCTCTTCAACCAGCTTGTTAGCTTTCTTCTCTAGATCTTCAAGTCTGTGTGTGACATGTTGTATGCGGATAAGGCCTATGCAAAAGTTGATAAGACGTTTTAATGTTTTCACCTAATTTCACTGTGTCTCTTTATTTTCACTTTGTATACACATTACAGAGATACACGTGCCACCGGCTGTTTAAAACCAATCCGATTAAATGAACCTGTCACTTCACTGGGTAAAGCATTCGCTGAAGTCGATAGTGTTATCGCCCAGGTAGTATCAAACGCTTTCTCTGCTCCAACAGTCAACAACAGTGCAAATTCAACAACATCTATGACTTCCTTGATAAATCCATCTATCACAACGTCAACCGTAGCAATGCCAAGTATACCAATGACTGTTATAACCGCGCCTAATACAGATCATTTAAAAAATAATAATTTCATGTTATCTAATAATGCAAATTTTATGCATAATACTACTGAAATTAATAATAATAGTAGTAGTATCAGTAGTAGTAATTGTAACCATCATCATCATCACCATGATATCAGTGATACCTTGTTAAATAATCAGACCAACATTATTGATAAAAAGTGTATAGCAAGTCATAGAGAATCTCTTCCTATACAAACTTTACATTTTCCACCGATATTAGACACACCATGGGAGGAACCAGATTGTAGTGAAGGTAAGAAGTTCTATGTATTTCATTGCATTGTGTGATTTTTTTGTTATTATTTCAATTGAAAAAGAGAAGAAATTCAGCGAAGAGACTCTTTTCGGTGAACTCATTCACATAGCTGTACAATACCAATTATATATAATTATTTGTGTGTGTGTGTGTGTGTGTACATGAGGTTTGTCATGTTTAGATAATTGGTTAGTTAATACAAGAATGATGTAGTATAGAGACAAAGTTAATTAGACAGCAACTAAAGTAAGATTGAGTCAGTAAGCTAGATGACGTAATATAATTGACTAAAATGTTACAACTTAGGTAAGGATAGCAAGAGAGGTAATTACAGGTAGAGATTAAGTAGAAGTGAAATTGAGTAAATAAGTTGGATGACGTACTATAAATGACTAGAAACTGAGCGATGTTCAAGTCAGTAACAGTGTTAATGAGGTGTAGAAATTGAATCGGGTGGGGGTAGAGAACAAGAAGGTTGAAAATGTAAAATATTACAATTGAGAAGGCAAAATAATACTAAAGAAGAGACAGAAAAAGAGATTAGGTAGAATTTACTTGTCGGCTAATAAGATAGATTACGTCCATTGCAAGTGTAGTGATTGAATGAACTTCTTCTGTATGCAGAGTTTAGGACTTAGCAAGTGAATCGCCATTGCTTCTGCACTTTGAATAAGTCTGATTCGTACACCTTTAGGAAGACTACTTCTTACTCTGTAGACGACTTTGAAGTTTGTTTGCGGTGTAGCTTGGTGTCCGGATTCTACTAGATGTTCTAAGATGGAAATGCGGGGGCATCGATTTTCTTCTTTGTAAAACCATGTTGGTAAGTGCTCGGTGATACGTTTGGAAAGCGAGCGCTGGATACGGCCGACATACCTGGCTCCACACGAGCAGGTGAATTGATAAATGCACATTGATGAGGCCAGCAGCGGAATACGTCAGTCGGAAACCTTCGAACCTTCATCAGTTGTAGCGTGTTCGGCGACTAGTATGCCATGGAGTCAACGACGCTTCCAAACCATTCTAGGAAGCAGGGATAGGACTGAATGCTTCATAGTGTGATTAGCTGTTCAGGCACTCATATAACTCCAACAAACCATTCAGTTGTCTACAAATGATTTAGTATGATCGTGTACATACCACAATAAGTTATCCTGGCAAATCTTCCATACCTAATAGGCCTAACCGGACAGATCGTCCAGCTATGACACAAGAAAGAATACGTGTTGGATACAGAATGCGCCATTGCATATATGAACGGCATTTCAGACTTAGAGGAGTTCAGTCTTAATCCTTTGGTATTTGCCTTATTGTTACGTGAACCCTTGGGTTCTGAATGGACTATAGAGCTCCATTTAGGCATTGCTATTTCTACCGGTTCTATTCAGTCTTTCTTAGGTGGAACATTATTATTAGCTTTCTAGACATCTTCAGTGCTGACTTCAATAACTGGATGAGGTTTTCGAATTCTCCAATAGTTAAATAATCAATCAGGGTTACTGAAGTTAGAGGTGAATATGTTGGCTGGAAACTACTCCTTTGGGAGGGGTATGAGTTCATTTCCCTACGAATGCACTTTGAAACCTCGCCTAGTTTACTGGAGGTGTCCGCATGCTTAGGAAAATAAGAAAGGTTGAGTGTGTGACTAGCGATGCCACCCTTCAAAGAACTCAGAGTGAAGAAAAAAATTAATTAAATCATTACATTCAGAGAATACAAGTATACTCAGCACCTCCCAGAATCAAAAACCTATCAGAATGGGATGTAGTTATCGTTCATTCATCTGTAACTGAAACTAGGCACATCAGCAGGACCTGATGGAATTACTTCAGAGGTGTTGAAGATCAGTGGCGACTAACTGTTGTCTGGGTTAACTAAGATATGAAACAATGTCTAGGAATCGGAGTTAATCGTGTAAGATGGAGTAAGTCATAGATTATCCCAGTTTGTAAGTAGGGAGACAAGTCTTCGTGTGATGAAAACACGAGGAAAAGTCTGACTAAAATGGTATCTTATGTTCTAGGCTTAATAATCATTCGTAGACTAAGTGGTATTCAGGAGGAACAAACACGAGAACGGGGCAGGCTCTAAACCAGAAAGACGGTGTATTTATCATATATTCACCCGTCTATAGATTCTGAAACTTGAGGATACTTATCGATGTCAATGAATCACTGTATTTTTTGACCTGAAAATGTAATTCAATTCCGTTCACCGAGAGGTACTCTGGCAATCTTTAGTCATGAAGGAAATGTCGAGAAAATACAATACATTGATCAAGGCACTCACTCTACTCGAACTCATGCAACCACCTAGGTAAGAGCCTGCAGGGAGTTGTCATCTGGCAACTGTGGTGATAACCATTGGTGTCCGTCAGGGATGTCCACCACTGTTCCCATTTCTGTTCCATTTCATCGTAGATGTACTGATAGACTTAACCCTTGCTGACTTTACTGACTCAGGAATTGACTTGTTACGAACCAGGGAACCATCTCGTTGACTTAGGATATGCTCATGATATATTACTTCCTCTTAGGTGAAGACATAATGTAGTCTTCTGAACGCCTTCAGCATCAACGTTCGAATGTCTGGCATGCGATTCGCTCCCCTTGTCAAATGTAAGATGAAACTACAGGACTGGCTGGACTACATTGACTCCCTGTTTAAAGATAGGGAGCGAGTGAAGTAGTAGGGCGTGTTGACCACTTCACTTATTCACGAAGTTTCAACAATCCTAACAAACTGATTAATGACGAAATCTTAGCACAGATACAAAAGGTTGATGTGGCAGCTGTATATCAGGTGTTCTTTGGTTATCAATACTTGTTATAGTTGATGACCTTTAATGTCACTCAATTCCCAATAGTAAACATTTACTCATCATTAATGTAAACACTGTCATCGTATATTCCTCCCCCGAAGACCCAGTCAAACGTAGAGTCCTTTGCTTTCTGTCGTCTCTTTCAGTTATCTCTACAATTGTACATAAGTTTTCATTTCTTGTACATATAATCTTCTCCATATCATCCTAGGACTTATGCACATTTGAGAAAGAGAAGATGTTCAGCGAAGAGACTCTTTCCGAAGGTGAATTCATTCACAAAGCTGTACAATTGCTTTTATATACAATCATCATGTGAAGAGGAATTGAAAGCGTGTGGGCAGACTTGGAGCCAGGTGAAAACTACAGCAGAGAACCGAACGCAATGGAGACGCATGGCTGAAGCCCTATGTTCCTCTAGGAATTAAAGGAAATAATAATAATACAATCATTTGTGTGTGTGTACATGAGATTTGTCAAGTTTAGATAATTGATCACGTAATACAAGAATGATCTAATATAGAAACAAGGTTAATCAGACAGCAACTAAAGTAAGATTGAGTTAGGAAGTTAGATGACACAATATAACTGACTAAAATGTTTCAACTTAGGTCGGGCTAGCAAGAGAGGTAATTACTGGTAGAGACTAAGTAGAGGTGGAGTAGAGAATAATGCCATTTAAATTAGTACTAAAGTTGAGCAAATAAATTGGATGACGTGACATAAATGACTAGAAATTGAGTGTTGCTCAAGTCAGTAACAGTGGTAATCAGGTGTAGAAATTAGATTGGCATTGCTTCTGCTAAGCCATGAACTCTGAATGCAGAAGAAGTTTGTTCAATCACTACACCTGCAATAGACGTAATCTATCTTAATACCCGACAGGTAAATTCTATTTCTTTCTTTCTGTCTCTTCATTAGTATTATTTTGTCTTTTCAATAGTAATATTTCACATTTTCAACTTTCCTGTTCTTTACCCCCCACCTGATTTAATTTCTACACCTCACTACCACTGTTACTGACATGACCAACGCCCATATTTAGTCCTAATTTAAATGGCATTATTCTCTACCCCACCTCTACTTAGTCTCTCCCTGTAATTACCTCTGTTGCTATCCCGACCTAAGTCGAAACATTTTAGTCAATTATATTACGTCATCTAACTTACTAACTCAATCTTATGCCCAAGAGTTGGTTCTCATGGCCCAAGTGGTCTAGTGGATAACGCTTTGGCGTTTGAAACTATATGGGCACTGGGTTCCAGCCTCAGTGGGAACATCATCACTCACTGACTGGGGAATGCAGGTACATCCACCACCTGACGAGCCAGTCCCAAGTAGTACGAAATGTGCGTTATCCTGGCTGGATTCCACTGCTAGTCACCATCCACCAATTAACTTTCAATTTTACTTTAGTTGCTGTCTAATTAACCTTGTTTCTATATTAGATTATTCTTGTATTACCTGATTAACTATCTAAACTTGACAAACCTCATGTGCACACACATACACAAAAATAATTGCATATAAATGCGATTGTACAGCTATGTGAATGAATTCGCTGTCGAGAAGTGTCTCTTCGCTGAACGTCTTCTCTTTTTCTTCGTATGCACATCTGACAAGCTTTCCAATAAGATTTCACCTAGGAGTCTGGTTGGAGTCCAATATCACTTGAACATCTTGAAATGTGATAAACGCAGTTAGAAATCATCATCTTCTCTTCCATTGTGATTTCAGTTACAACTTCATTAATGAGTAGTGTAAGCACAATATCGCTTGAAATTAAGTCACGCGTAGTTAAAGGCTATCCCGGTCCAGAACAAACAAGAAGCCGGTCACTGTTTCTACCATACTATCAATAAACAAAGCAATAATTATATATACAACAAACCTTAACGGTTTCAAGAGTACAAAGAACAACGCTTAACAGAAAGCAAAGTACCGCTATCATAGCGGAATAACGTTAAAGCCAAAATTACGAACTAGCCGGAATCAGACACGACTGTTCAGGTAAGCAGTCAGTAGAAGAATGAACACAAGTAAGGCAGGGCATAGAACAGAGAGCGGTTCAGAGATAGACAGAGCATAGGCACAAAGATAGAATTTATTTGGCTACTTAATCAGGTTGGCTGATACAGAGGAATATCAATAAATAAGATAAACTCGACAGAATAATACAAAGTAAGACACGGGTCAGCAAAAATAACGGTTCACAAAATACTCTGATTGGGTCATGAGTTCAACGTTCTGACTAAACGGATCGATGTAAAAACACACACACAGTTCATTAAACAAGGGGGGATAGACACTTTAGGCATGGATAATTGGGTTGCAACAACGCTAGGCTGATCCGGGAGGATGGGAATTGAATTGATCTTACAAGTAGCGTTCATATCAGATTAGCAACCTCTCTTATAAAATTCTGTGAAGCATAATGTTATAAACATATGACCATTATTATTATCATTATTATTACTATTATTATGATTACCTTTGTGTACAATGAACAGATGTTACCCGCATTTTATATCAATGATTAAACAATCTTTAAAAAGGAATGTAAGCTGTGCCTTATATGTTCCTTTATATCGTGTATGAAATGTATTCATTCTTCTTATCTATTGATATTATTGAGCCAGATGTAGAAGAACTTGTATTGTGTACACGTCTATTTGCTCGTGTGCATGTGTGTATGTGTGTGGGGGGGGTTGGGTAGTTACATGCCTGTGTGCGTATGTATATGCCTAGGTAAATAAAGGCTGTGCCTCCTAAAAAACAGTTTAAGGAATTACGTCACACAGCTGGCATTTTTTGTGTTCTGTTCCATTAATACCATGCTTTTCACCATAATATCGTCACCTTTATTCATTAATTATATATTTGTTTATTACGCTGTAATTACAAATGTAATTTTCCTTAAAAATTCCCAGATATAAACGTATTATATGAATTAAATAAATGTCTAAGGAGGTATTTCATTTGGTAGCGTATTAGTGGTCCATTGCTTTTGACTGTTTGTCAACGATACCTCACTTGTGAGGTATGAGAGTTCAACTCTAGGCTACCACCGATGCATTACTGCACCTCACTGCTTATTGGGTTGATGAATTCCTATTCGTGTAAAAGCACTTTAGACCTGAAAATATATCTTCCAATGGGAACTAAATATTGTGCTAAACAATCTTGATTGTCTTGGTGTAGTTGTGTTCTCTGAGCTAAATGGATGTTATATTTGTGAAGCTTTCATTATTGCCCCTTACTGGGCAACACCTTCAGTGCACAAACTTACTCATCTTTCCTGGTGTGTGACTTTGAATGTGATTGGTTGTTTTTGTGTGTGTCTTCACACCCTCTAGGCTACTTATATTGGTATTGATTGTTTTCTTGACGTGAAGTTTGAGTCCTTGTGTGTGTGAGATTTTCTTCTTATCGATTGGTAAATTTTGTCTATCTCGATGTGTCTACTGATTGACGATTCACTGGAATACCAGGCGGGCTTCTAAAAATTCTCTAGCATTTTTGGTGTTTCCTCTAACTAATATTTGAACGTTATCCCAGTCGAATCGATGTCCATGGTTGTCTGTATGCAGTGAGGCGATATGAGAGTCATTTGACGGCTGGTTGGTGTTAATGGATGCGAAAAAGACGAAGAGGACGTCCCCTTTGGTCAATGTCGTGTTTTTCGCAATCGTTGGTTTTATCTTCTTTCGCTGTTGGTGTCTTTGGGTTGACAAAGTACTGTGTTAAGTGATTTTATTGGTTTAGCAACAAATAAACCATCCAGCTCAGAGAACACAACTACACCGAAATCATCCACCTGAGCTAAAAATCGTTTCCATTATGTCTAAATCTTGTTCATCAGATTATAGAAATTATAGGGATTATGGATTAATTTCTGATATGTACTTATAGCCAATTAATATGATCTCGTTGACAGTTGATATTATCAGGTTGACATGAACGTGATTATAATAACACTGATGCAAAGGAAAACTCAAATTATATACTGAATACACGTATTCCTTCTTAGTACCGCCCATTTCACTTAGCAAAGGAAATATCAAAAGACAAAGACTGGCTTTTAACTATTAGGGTACAGCGTTTTTATTAGAAAAAGGCACGCCATATTTATAAATTATTAGTATTATTCCCTTGGGGTCCAAGTGGAACATTTGGTTTCAACAGCACATATCCACTTTCTTATATTCACTGCAGTCCTTTTCAACTGGGTCCACGATTGCGCATTATCTCTCATCTCCTCCACACACACGATCTGCTCTTGCAACGACGACCCACTCGTCGTTTTCCATTCGGATTCCAAGCAAACAATGGACTGCCTTATGTGCAGTGTCATTTGACGGTCTCCTCAACATATGCTCTATCCACCTGTCCCCATTTTCTCCTACATATCTGTTGAACAATCAGATCTTGTTGGGTTTGTTCTTAATCAGCCGGAGTTTCTCGTTGCTAATTCTTTTTGGCCAGCCGGCTTGCCATTTGGTCTTCAGTATGGAGCGAGCCAGCAAAGTGGACGGCTGTTGATAAAAGTCTGCAGCAAGCTGTTGGAAATCCTTCTTATGACAGGCTAGCCAAATATCTGACCCGTATAGAAGAAGTGACTGATGTGACATTTGTGTTAAAAATCCGAATCTTGATCTTCATGCGGAGGCGGAGTGCAGTGCAAATTAACAAACTGGTTTCAGACTGACGAAGGTGTATCTCGCCTTTCCGACCCACATGGAGTCCTTTCTTCGCTGTCTGCCCGCTTCTTTTGCAAAAATGTTGGTTTTTGCCTGTATGTCTCCGAGTTGGTGTGACATTAAACATAGTTCATCCACGTGCAAACTCTAGATCTTCTAGAGTCTTCTTATCAGTCCAGTGTCTTCCTGACTTCTTGCTCCCTACACCCAGTTTGCCGCATAATCCAGTCCACCTCAGTTGAGAATATCATCGGTGATAATATTCAGGCAGCCTCTGCTTACTCCTGTCTTCACTTTGAACGCCTCACTGAGTTTTCCGTTTTGAATCACCTGACCGGCATGTGACATTGTCATATAGCTCTTAAATGAGGTTGATAAAGATTTCGGTCACTGTACTCCATAGTGTTAAAGTGATTTTGAAATAACTTCTTGCTCGACGCTGTCAAAGACCTTTTACAAGTCGATGAAATTGTTGTAGAGTCAGAGCTGCCTACCATTCTATGCTTTGTTGTGTGATAACGATGCGTAGAGCTGCAGTTTCAGCAGCCCATGATTCGCCTTTCCTAAATCGAACTTGTTCCTCACTGTTAGAAATCCGCAACCAGTGCATCTTTAATTCTCTCCAGGATAACGCGACTTAGTATTTTACTTGACGTGGACAATAGCATTATTTCACATCAGTTCTTGCAGAGGCCTAACTAGGTCACCCTTCTTCGGCGGCTGGACAAGACAGGTAATCTTTTTCCTAGTTGGTAGGGTGCTTTTCTTCCTTCCAAACGTAATGCAATAATGGCGTCAGGACAATGAAACACAGATTGTTCTGATCGATAGGCGATTCGGATAGGTCCATAAAAAAATATTCTGATTGACCCACGACTGGACCAAAACCAAGGTAAGAAATTACGAAATTTTACAGAAGTCAGTCAAAGTCATCTGGTCACAAGATAAGAATCATATAATGAATAACAAGATAATCAAATACCAACATCATTTAGAGAGATCATTAAAAGCCAGGAAGTATTGGATAGCCATCTGTTTCCTCCCAGTTTGGAAATCTTCACCAGTGTGTACCCACTACCCTACCGGGGTTCGAATTCGAGACCTTCAGATTACGAGCCTCAGCTTATAATGACACAGCTAAATCACGAGTGGCTCAATGCCCAACGAGCATAGTGTCATATTCTGAAGGTTCCCAGTTCGATTCCTAGTGGCATAACAGGTACACACTACCGAAGAGTCACAAATAAGGACGAAAGAGATGTCCAGTGTTTTGTAGTTTTCAATTATCTATCTAATTGAAGTTAGTTCATGGTCATTATAATTATATCTGCATCTTCTTTTTTTATAGATCACGCACTGAGTACATCAAGCAGCGGTGGTTCCTGCACTGGAGGAGGCGTAGGTGGTGGTGCTATTGGTGGTATTTTTGGCAGTGTTAGTGGTTGTAGCAATTCCAGCGCAACACCGACTAGTTCAGTCACAACAACAACACCAACGACGACAACACCCGCAACAGCAACAGCAACAAATGTATCTACATTTATAGGGAATAATCCATTTCTACCATTTATAAGTCCAACTTTAACTCGACGTACCTCATCAACAACATCATCATCAACAACAGCAGCAACAGCAGCAGCAACAGTCATCAACTCCAACAGGACACAATCAATAACATCACCAGATATGAGCACATTTTGTTCAGCTATATGTTGTCACCATTCAATACAAGGACAAAATTGTAACCCACCGATGACAATGCCATCCCCACAATTTCAATCAAATCGTAGTGCTTGGGCTAATGCAATCAGTCCTGAAAATGCTCAACAAATTTATGATGAATTACCACCATCCAACTTTCTGTTGAGTTCACAAACTGTAACGCTGAAAGAAAGATTAGGTAAGGTTTGTTAAGCTTATTTCCAACACCCACCCCCCCTGCCAACCAACACCGAATATTCTCTCGATTTGATATTTATGTGCATAGTCGGTGGCATAGTGGTTAAAACAATCGCTTACCATGCACATAGTCTGGGGTTCGATCTCTTTGCCGATGCACACTTGATATCAATAGTCGGTCTGCTAAATTTCGACTACCGATGTCACATTCTCAAAAATCCCATAACTGTAACGAAATACTGTGTGGAATCAAGCTATAATCAAATATTAATCATATATATTTTTGCCTGTTACGTGGAAGGCCCGGGTTCGATTCCTGGTCGAGGAGCCATCGTCAGTGACACAGCTGTAGAATGCTCAACAGCCACGCCTCATGTGGTTAGGAGTTCGACCACCGACCACCGACTTACTCCTGTACCTCGCTAAGCCAGTAATAAGAGTGGTGAAGAGAGAAGGTTGGGCATGAGGCTAGCGACCCCATTCCGTAAAAATAAACACCACTGCTACCGAAACTTCAAGCCTCCAGCTTGAAGCTCTATATTCCACTGGGAACGTAAAGGAGCTTTATGTATACATATATATATGGTTTTTTATATATTAAGAAATTATTCCTCATGAAATTGTCTGATTTCCCTCCAGCTGGAAGATCTGCAAGTGAAAAGCAACAAGTTGGCAACAGAAGAAGCATAACAGATAGGACCTCAGGTAAACATAGAGAAAACAGAGATAGCTGATGAAGATTCCTGGCCAACATCAACAGCCACAGCAACAACAACAGACAACAATCAGCCAGCATAAATGGGAGAAATCTGAAGGAAACAACCTCCTTCACCTACCCACCTACCTTCCTGGGAAGCATCGCTTCAGCTACAGACGGATGGAACTGACGAGGATATCAAAGCAGCTAGGATCGAGAAAGCTAGAAAAGCTTTCATTTCTCTCACGTCTGTGTGGAGATCAACAGCACTCAGCATGAAAATGAAAATAAGATCCGGATTTCCAACTCCACTGTGAAGTCAGTGCTACTTACTATACGTATGGATCAGGGACCTGACGCGTCATGAAGAGCACTTCAAACAAACTAAAGACCTTCATCAACAGCTCTGTCTTTGCTCAATACTCAATATCAGATGGCTGGCCATAAAAGATCAGCAATAATGAGGGATCTCTGGCAATGAACGAACCAACCCAGTAGGAACCAACTGTGCAACAAATATGCAGAAAAAAATAAAGGTGAATTGGTCATATTCTGAGAAAACAAACCATCAAGTGACATCACAAGACAGGCCATGGCTCGAATGGAACCTGAATGGGAGGCGCCGAGTTAGTTGATCGCCAGTGCGAGAGTTATATGGAGGAGGAGGTGATGCGAAGAGGAGATGAAGGCATTTGGGTAGACGTGAAGCCGTGTGATGAAAACGTTGTCAGAGAACCGAACGCAAAGGAGACGTGAGGCTGAAGCCCTACATTCCTTTAGGAACTAAAGGCAACAATAATAAAAACGTGGTTTTTTATATATTAAGAAATTATATATAATGAGGAAATTTACACAAAGGTGTGTGAATACATAAAATGATAATAACAGTATGAAATGCAATCAAAATATTTATGATTGCAGTCATAGTTAAATATCAAGTGTCAAGTGGCAAAACAATTAATGTCATATAGATTTATCGGTAGTATATAAAGAGACGTTCATCGGCAGGCATAAAAATCTTCAAATAGCTGGCAGATAGATTTTATGTCAGAGAAAGCAAATGATACAGCGTTGCGGAGAGAGACACATGGGAGACGTGAAAGAACCGAAATATGAGAGATGGAAGTAGCGAAACATGAAAGTTTCATACATTTATTCCCCTTAATGAATTTGAACAAAGCAAGAACTAAAGTTTTAGCAGAATAAAATGGTACCATCATTGCCTATTTCGTTACCTTCTCGTCAGCTGCTTACAGGGCAAAGACATTATTAAATGTATCTACAAAAACAATTTTAACATAAACTTGAACAAGGCAAGAACAACAATTGTACCAGGATAATATGAGCTCATCTTTTATTATTATTTCGATGATTCTTCTCAACTGGTTACAACCTGAATGATAAAAAAATATGAATTACATTACATTCAAGATTTGAACATACTTTTCCACGATCACAAGGAGTAATTGGTAGGAAGTATGTTCAAATCTTTAATGTAATGTAATTCATATTTTTTATCATTCAGGTTGTAACCAGTTGAGAAGAATCCTTGAAATAATAATAAAAGATGAGCTCATATTATCCTGGTACAATTGTTGTTCTTGCTTTGTTCAAGTTTATTAATGGGAAGAATCGCATGAAATTTTAACATACTTGCACAGAGTTCATTTTAAACAAAAATCAATCGATCAATATACACATACACTAATAATATATACACATATAGATATGCAATATTAAACACAATTCCGAACAATAATAATCATACACAATGAAAACTTTTCAGCATTCCGCATTCGGATGAAAAATATCCAGTTTTCAGGGCAAAGAAAGACTATTTTATTCTGCTAGAACTGTAGTTCTTGCTTTACTCAGAAACATGGAATGGTATATATATATATATATATATTCTTTTATCGGGTCTCTCGTCTGCTACTGTTACACAGCTATGCATAAAATCAGACCGTGAGTAATATATATTTCATGCATTTATTCTCCTTGATGAATTTGAATAAAGCAAGAACAACAGTGTGTGGTTTGTGCAGAATAAGAGGATGGTACCATCATTGTTTATTTCGTTGGCTTCTCATCAGCTGCCGTTTACAGCCTAAAGAAATTATTCTTAATTTTATGTACAGTCATTTTTAAACATACTTGCAAATTTTCCATAATGTCATTTGACAGAATGTTCCGCAAATAGTGAACAGTGCTCAGAAAATTGAGCTTATAAAGTTTTTACACAGGTAGTTCAAGTTTAAACAAAGTTAGTGTATGCATACAATCGTAAAGAAATTAAGTAATAAAGATGAGAGATGCGCAAAATGCTAAGTGACTAATAAATTAGTTAACAATATACTAGGTTCAACTCAAATCATAGAAAGAATAGACAAGCAAAATTACTCTATATAAAGGGGCTGGAAATCTTCGTCACTCAGCATCAATAACAAAATTCGGATTTCCAATACAAACGTCAAGTCAGTCAGTTCTTCTATACGGATGGATCAGAAACTTGGAGGCGGGTCACAAAGAATATTTCCAACAGCCTGTTGCAGACCTTTATCAACAACTGTCTTCGTTCTATTCTCAAGATCAGATGGCCGTAAAGAATCACCAACAAGAAACTATGGGAACAAACAAAACAAGAACCAATCGCCCAACAAATATGCAGGAGATAGTGGAGATGGATTGGACACTCGCTGAGGAGGCCGTTGGGTGACATCGCGCGCGGCTCGAGTGGAAGCCGAAAGGGAAGCGGCGAGTGGGACGTCCAAGGGTGACATGGAGGAGATCGTGTGAAGAGGAATTGAAACAGTATGGATTAACATGGGTGCAGGTGAAAAGTACAGCAGAAGACAGAAGCAAGTTGAAACGTGTAGTTGAAGCCCTATGTTCCACTAGGAACCCAAGGGAACAATAATAATAGTAAGGAGATGGAGGGTGAGGATAAGGCCGAAGATTACATAATCAAATGAAAGAGAGAGAGAGTAAAGACATCCAATTACCAGGGCGAAGAAAGACTAATAACTGCTTCATCTTGCTGAACACATAAATCTGATTTCAAGCGTTTGATAGAAATTGCTTCGGTAAACTTGAGGAGAATCGAGCTCCTTTCTTTATTGATAAATTCAAAGGTTTTCGCGATTTCTACCTCATAACTCATATCGAGAAGATGTCTGGTAATAGCGTTATTCTAAGAGACTTTGTTCCCTTGAGACGTAGGCTGTAAGCAGTAACTGACGAGAAGTCAACGAAATAAACAATGATGGCACAAACCACACTGTTGTTCTTGCTTTATTTAAATAGCATATATTATCGAAATTAATGTGTTTCTGACAACCATTCAGAGTAATTCCATTATTCAACCGAAATGATTCAAATGCCTGTGTCAAATCAAACTCTTGTTATTGTTTTCACATCCAAACTTTTTTTTCTAAAATTTTTATTTTTAATGATATCCGCATAACAAAAAAAGAGTGAAGATTTCAACTTTTTCTATTAGACGTAGAAATCAGATAGCCATTTTTTTCAATATTGCCGCCTTTTTTCATTTTCAAATCTGATGCCATTCTCAATACTGTCGCGTTCATTCGTTTTCATTAACAAAAAGAAAAACGACATACATTGAAAATTGAATTCTGTCTATTTCTTTTCAATGTTTCAATTTCTACATTTCCACCTGGATTTTGTTTTGTTTGTTTCACCTTTTTCAGGTGGAGGAAATTTTGGTCATGTTGTCAAAGGATTGTATAGAACACCATCTGGTCAAGAGGTTCCTGTGGCTGTAAAAACACTGAAACCGAATCAAATTGTCAGTGCTGGAGAAGTGAGTATTCTTTAATTTTTGTTTTGTTTTTCTGTTTTTCATATTATCATAATAATTATTATTATGACTGTTATTACTGTTCAATTTTATCAGATGAAATATCATAGAGTGTCACTGGAACTCAATAGAAATCGGTAGTAATTAAATAAAAGAATAGGGTCCTCTATTATCCCAGATTTATTCTATCGTTCAGTTCATTTTATTCAGCTCTTACATTATTGCTATTATTATTATCATCATTATTATTATTAATATTAGGCCATTATTCTCTGATGACATTGTCTCTGAAAGATCAGTTACACTTGTGTCGGTGTTTGTTTTCATTACTGCTACTGTTGTAGCGTATGTTCTACTGACAAGATTTATCAGTAGTGTATAAATGAAGAGACTTTCAAATGGGCACAAGAAAATATCATCAACTAGCATAGAGATGGGGAGAGATTTGATGTCAAAAGGAGGAAAGGAAATGAACCAACAGGTGTATTTCGGCAGAATACGATATTCTAACCTATACCGATTGAATCAGGTCCCAGTGGCTGAATGGTATACGAGCTAGCTTGCCTTGTAACCGGAAGGTCCTAGGTTCGAAACCCAATGGGGTGGATGCGTACTGCCGATGATTCCCAACCTAGGATGAAACAGCTGGCTGTCCAGTACTCCCTGATGGTTTTTAATGGTTCTCTAATTGATATCATTCATTGATCAACTCGTAAAAACAAAACTGACCCTTACAAACCAAACTATATAAAATTAATCTGATGCTCACTAGTGACTTGCTACAGGATGGAGTTTCCTGGAGTTCTAATGAGGAGTCGTGACCAGTCAGGTCCATCCAGTCAATTGTGTGATATAAGTATAAAACTTGGGCATGGTGGTATAGCATAACTCCATAATGGATAAGATTTTATTTTCATGAATCACACATTGTTGTACAGTAATGTTAACTGATGACGTGTCGAGCACAAACTATTGCTCATAATCATATCAAGTTGTGTAATCATATCAATTGTGTGAGGATGGATGTCCCACCGACGACATTGGTTGGGGTCGTTGCTAAATCACGAATTGGTAAAAGTTAGAATTCATAAGCCATTGAATCGGTATACGAGCCAGCTTGCCTTGTAACTGGAAGGTCCTGGGTTCGAACCCTAGTGGTGGGTGCTTATTGCCGATGATTCCCAAACTAGAATACACACACCAATAACCATTCATGTTTTATAATAGGTCAGGTATACTCCTCATAGTGGGCGAAGGTTGAAGTCTATTGTTTTTTGTACACATAGTTTAGGGTGTATGTGATGATTAATTCAAAGTGCTTCCATCACATTTAATAACCAACCTTGAATTAGAGTTTTGGCCAGTAGAGTGGGGTACAGCATGTTCCGAGATGACATTGGCTAGTGCCAGTTGCGCTATATCATGAATTGGCAGAAGTTAGGACTCATGGCTTGGCTATCGGATTGGGTCCCAGTGGCTTATTGGCCTAAGAACTAGCCTTGTGTCCAGAAGATCGTGGGTTAAAACCCTGGCGTTCGATGCGTACTCATGAAGAGTTCCAGGCTGAAAAAACGGCTGGCTGTCCACTACTCCCACGTGGTTTTCCAATGTTTCTCTAACCAATTTCAGCTCATCATGGTGAAATCCTGTAATTATTTTTGTCGTTTTGCGTTCCTAGAAGAAAACAGGGTTATCAGCTTTAATCTTGGAAGTCTTAGCAGCATTGATGTTATTCTTTCTTACAGAGTAGGGTTCCTAGGCTCATACTCAACTTTTCTTTTTCCTGGACTTACTACCGGTGACTAGGCAGCATAGTTTAGTAATACGTTGGCCGGACACTTGTCCATGTGACACATAGTTAGTGAGCATTCCGCTGCTGAACCACTGAAAGAAAGGAACCTGTGCCCCGAAAGAGAATTGAACTTTTAACCCATGGTATACTTGACCGATACACTAACCACTGAGCTATTACCAGCCTAAAACATCGTGCTCATACCTAAGTCGAATTGGTCGACTTATTTCCCAAAGACTTCCATTCATCAACATCATCCGTCTTCGAGGTGAAGAGTCTTTGAAAGTCCAGCGATAAAGATTTGCGTTTTCGCTACTTTGAAATTTGAGATGAACTTTGGTTTTATTTCTTCTAATGGGAATGGCTACCGGCGCCACACCTAACTTTCCCTCTTTTCTAGTTAATAAGCGGATAGAGCTTAAAATACAATCTTCAGCAGTAATTATTTCTCTTTCTGTAGACAACAGTATCTTCTCCTTATCGTATCGTGTATACTTCATATAGTGGGGAAAATGGAACCTACTAGGCTGCTTGCCTATTTTCTTTTTCACTAAGAGAAATAAATTCCTCTCTCCGCCACCTCTTCCTCCGCCTCAAATGCCCCTGTTGCTGAAGATCTTTATTCAAAACTGTTCAGTTTTGACATAATCACTTAACAACCACATACCGCGGTAGATACCGTCAACCATCGTGTTCTTTCCCCCCCCCTAATCCACATCCTATCTATACTCTTCAATAAATCTTCTCTGTGGAAAACTGTTTAACTGGTAAACTGTCTCCATTCAAAGAATCAAATAAGGAGAGGGTGATGAAAAAATATATACAAACACGCACACTTACACACACGCACATTTTCCCTTAGTTTCAGCCGCTCTTCTTGTCACTTTATCCAGCCTTCTTTCATTCTTTCTTCCATCTCTTCGTCTCCATTTGGCTATGCCTGTGTTTATTACCTCACTCATTCTCTCTCATCTGCTTTATACATGTCTCATTATTAAAAATCTAACCAGTCAAGCGTATGTAAACTGTTTTTCATAATACTATTAGTAACAATAATAATAATAGTAATATCGGTAGAAAATATTGATTCGTTTAACAATGGAAACACTTTATGTAAAAATGCTTCATTCCCTATTCATTAGGATGATAACGTTGCATGACAAGGTGGTGGAGTACGGCGGCTAGAAGGTGGTGGGTGGGTGGGTGGGTGGTGAGAAGAGCTGACAGTGGACAAGAAATTGAAGTAAGAGGCAGAAGAGTAGAACGAGAATAAGAAGAAGGCGGATAATGGATGATAATGCATTTGTATATGTTGACTGCTCTTTACTGATAAAAAATAAATAAATTGATCAGCATGTCAACTGTTGACAAGATGAATAATGGTTATATTCAAAAGGATACTGATGCTAATACTACTACTACTAATAATAATAGTAATAGTAGTAATAATAATTCTAGTGATGGAAGCCCATTCACCGCTTGCTTTTTCCATTCGCCAATGTATATATACATATGGATATTATTATTTCCTTTAGCTCCTAGAGGAACATAGGGCTTCAGCCATGCGTCTCCATTGCGTTCGGTTCTCTGCTAGAGTCTTCACCTGGCTCCAAGTCTGCCCATACGCTTTCAATTCTTCTTCACATGATCTCCTCCAGGTCACCCTTGGCCGACCAACTCGTCGCCTCCCTTTTGGGTTCCACTCGAGCAATGGCTTGTCTAGTGATGTCACTTGATGGTTTCCTCAGAGTGTGGCCAATCCATCTCCATTTCTTCCTGCCTATTTGTTTCACAATCGGTTCCTGCTGTGTTGGTTCGCTCATTGCCAGAGATCTCTGTTGTTGATCTATTCTGGCCATTTGATCTTGAGTATTGAGCGAAGACAACTGTTAATGAAGGTCTGTAGTTCTGTAGTTTGTTTGAGGTGCTCTTTATGACGCGCTGGCCAAGTCTCTGATCCGTATAGTAGCACTGACTTCACATCGGAGTTGAAAATCCGGATCTTATTTTTCATGCTGAGTGCTGTTGACCTCCACACAGACTTGAGAGTAGTGAAAGCTTGTCTTGCTTTTCCGATCCTTGCTTTGACATCCTCGTCAGATCCGCCTGTAGTTGAAACAATGCTTCCCAAGTAGGTAAAGGAGGTAGTTTCTTTCAGGTTCCTTCCATTTATGCTTATTGTTGTCTGTTGTTGTTGTTGCTGTGGCTGTTGGTGTTGGCCAGGAATCTTCGTCACCTCCGTTTTCTCTATGTTCACCTGACATATGGATATAACTAAGGCGAAAAGATTCGTTTCGATGTAAGTATTTAAACTGTTCACATTGACATGTATGTAGGCGCATGATGCACAGAAAGGCTATGTCACGTATGTGTATATTATTATTATTCAGTCTTCTATGCATCTTTTTTTGTTTCTCTAGTTATTAACTGTCCACTATGTTTTCTACGGCCTTTGCTGTTTCCCTTCCCGACCCCCCGCCCGCTGCGTCCAATTCTTTATGGTAATGGGGCGAAATATGCATCCATAGAGACTGAATATGATTAAGAAAAGCGTCGATGAAAAAAACTATTGATGGTCGTCTTTCAAAATTCCTTGTGGAAGTTCAGGGGTAGAATATATGGTTACAGGATTTCATCATGAGCTGACATTAGTTAGAGAACCATTGGAAAACCAGCTGGAAGTACTGTACAGCCGACTGTTTCCTCCTAGCTTAAGGCTCTTCAGCAGTACACATTCATCGGGGTTCGAACCCAGGACCTTCTAGTTACAAGGCGAGCTCGTAAACCTTTAAGCCACTGGCCCATGAATTCTAACTTCTGCTAATTCACGGTATAGTGCAACCACTAGCCAATGTCTTCGGTGGCGAGTATTTGTCCTCACACCCAACCCGCTGCACCCTACTGGACACGACTTCCCACTGAAATCCCAGGTTACTGAAAAGGGCCAGTCGCCAGCGAGCACCTCATTGATATTCAAGTATTGGTTTGTAGAGATTCGGTTGATTGGTTACAGGATTTCATCATGAGATGACATATTGGTTAGAGAACCATTGGAAAACCACCAGGGAGTACTGGACAGTTGTTTCGTCCTAGTCTGGGACTCTTCAGTAGTACGCACTCATGGGTGCTTGACGAGCATGCCTCATGTAGTTCTCCGAGAGTTCGATTATTTGGCTGCTACAGCACTCCTAACAAGAAGAACACTGGCTAA